AAGCCCTGAAGAGTAAGTCCTGACAAGGGAAGGTCAGGCAAACTGAAAATCAAGCAATACTTTGGTTTTAAGTCCTGACAAGAGAGTTTGGGTAAACTCACAAGTCCCAAGAAGGATCCCTTGCCTGCCATGGGGGCCATTCCCTTACCACCCACTTCGACTCCTGTAGCTGCTTCTGCACCACCACTAGTATCTACTACACCTGCTGCATGCTCCACCCCTTCTCCAGCTCCACCTGACATGCACTCAAGCTCTTCTCCCCCTCCTACTGCTGTCCCTCCACCTCCTCCTAACTGGGACACAAATGCTCCCTTACCTAGTAACCTCTTATCACCGGGTACAGCTGTTGACCTACAGCAGGTCCAAACTGATGCTAATACCCCTCAAATGAGTAGTTCTGTGTCTGAAGATGGGCCATACTGTGGCACCTGATCCAGGACTTCCAAAGCAGAGAGACTTTTTCCCCTTAGAGAAATTCCTGTGGGAGGTGTGGGTTTTGTGACTGCTCCTCTAACTGCTTCTGAGGTGAGAGGATTCAAGAAGGAGTTAGGGAATTTAGTTGAAGACCCCATGGGCATTGCTAAATAAGTGGATCAGTTCTTAGGCCCAAATATCTGCACTTGGGCGGAGATTAATTCTATTCTAAATATATTATTTTCCCCAGAAGAGTTCCAAATGATTAGAGCCTCTAGCATAAGAATTTGGGAAAAGGATGTGGGGGCAAGCAACTATTTCCTACAATCCAAGGCCACAAAAGAGTGGGGGGGTCCACCACCAGCAGCAGGCACAGAAAGAATAGAGAGGCCTCAGGTCGCTTTGAGTGAAAGGCGCTGCTATTACTGCGGACAAACTGGACCCCCAAACTGTTCAGCCTAAAGTTGTGAGACCTTTGCTAGCCAATCGAATAGCAAAGGAAGCAGCTTTAGAACCAGGAACCTAGGAGATTGGGTTTTGATAAAATCCTGGAATAATAGACCATTAATGCCTAAATTTAAAGGTCCCTTCAGGTATTCGTCATCGCTAATTCTGCTGTGCGGACCAGAGAAAAGGGTTGGACCCACATCACGAGAATTAAAGGACCAGTCCCACCCCTGAACATTGGACAAGACTCATCAGTGTCTCCCTCTGGCATTGGACCAGATTCCACACTACCCTCACACCCTAACTCAGGACAAGATTCATCAGTGTCTCACTCTGGTATTGGACCAGATTCCCCACCACCTTCACCCCCGAACCCAGGAGATTGGGTTTTGATAAAATCCTGGAATAATAGACCATTAATGCCTAAATTTAAAGGTCCCTTCAGGTATCCTCTGGCATTGGACCAGACCCCACAACACCCTCACACCCTAACTCCGGACAGGATTCAACCACATCAGGAGTTAAACTAGCTGAATATACTATTATAAAAGGACCAAATGACTTAAAGCTGACACTCAAAAAGAAGAACCAAAAAGACTGATGAATTGCATAAGAGAAAAAGGTTTAGAATCATAACATGTCTTAAAGTGTTTTAAGAAAATTTGTAAAAGCTAAAAATTGTTAATAAGTAATTTTGGTTAAATCCTCCCAACTTAGTACCAAAGACTCCAGGTTAATCTTCTGCAGAGTGCTCCCCTAGGAGAGACCAAATTGGCAGGGACAGATCAAGAGAGGTTTAACCAGAGGAGCAAGAGACTCTAAAGAGCTTGGAAACTTCTTCTCAGTAAATCCTCAAGAGGCAAGCCCGGGTGGGCAGGCTGTGCAAGATGACCCATACCGGACTCTTGGGAAGGGTAGTAGTGATGGCTCTGATTGCTGGTGGAGCTCTGGGGAGCCCAGGAGAGCCGTGCAGTGAGTGCTACCAATCTCTCTATGAGAAAGAAGTAAGTTCCTTGCTGAGAGTCCACACCGACCTAAACTATAACTGTGTTAATCCCTCCCAATTGATCCTTTACCAAGAGAATGAGAAAATATATTGGATGGCCAAAGAGGGGACCCGAAGTGTTGGACCGAAAAGTAGGAATCTGCTAATCTCCTGTGAGGACGCAGTCCCCAGCTCTGCCTGCAGACCAGCAGACAAAGCTGCATCACCCTCCTCCTCCGTGCCACTCCTTGGAGCAGCGGCAGCGTGGGCACAACCCATCGACTTCTCCCCACCTGAGCTGAATCTCTTTAATAAAGGCATTAAAAAAGGAGAAAGATCTCCTGCCCATTTATTTCAAAATGTACCATGTAAAATGAAGAAAATTAATGTACCTACTGGGTGGCATGTGGTCCAGATGAGAAGCAGAATCAGTTTTACACCTTGGGAGCACCCAATCCAATTGGGAAATGCAGTTAAAGAAGGGGGCCTACTAAGTTAGTTATCTGAAATCTCTTCTACAAGGATCAGGCTTCTAAATGTATTCAGCCTTCAAACTTCTACTGAAGTGGCACAGTTAATGTTATGCCATGTCCATACAAATGAGTCATGATCAGATTTCTCCTTCAGTAGCAAGTTCTCCTTCAGTCAGCCAACACCTTGTCTTTCTGAAGGAATTAGACCAGAAGACAAAATATAGTCAGATTTCTAATGGTCATTTTTTCCATATCACTTGACAGTAAATGGCTTTAGTTTGATCCAGGCCTGTAGTCAGCTCTGGAACATTCTGTTGCCATCCCCATTTAGCATTATATAGTCCATTAACTAAATTAATGATCTTCAGGCCTGTGGGTTTTAGCTAGAATGTACATACATGTGCAGATATGGGAATGTAGTTCCTGAAATCTGTCTGAGGTTTCCTAATCAAATGAGAAATAACTTGTAAAATTAGTTTCAAATCCTCATTCTCTCTCATAGCCTAGAAAATCAGTTAAGGCAGCTGCTTTAGAAAAATACCACACCCCTATTGAAAACCTCGGGGTGAGAAGAATCGAAGTTTAACCATTCACCTCTTCCCTCTCTCCAACTCAGCTGCAGGAGTTGTCGTAGCCCAAGAGGTATGGCTTAAATCTAGGTGGCACCTGACAAATACATTATTTAAGACAAGTTTTTCTGTCTAGTTTTTAGCTTTCTAACAGAAACACTCATGTTTCTGTGAGCCCTTGTGGTTCTAGAGTGTACCTAAAAATTGCAAGTACTTGCAAGTTCTGTTGGGAAATTATGGTTACATTGTATATTTACCCTCTGTTTTCTTTAGCCAGATCCCTTGGCAGATATTAACAGAACAATCTAACAATCCTTAAAACAGATCTGCAGGATGAGTTGTATTTCATAGAACACACAGCTAGGAAAACAGAGGTAGGGAGGCTAAGTGGCTTTTTAAAACAGCAAACAGAGAAAGACTAACTTACAAATGTTTCCCAAATCAAACATGGTTCTCACTCCTTGAAACCCAGAACTTCCAAACTGCATTCAGTAAAGCACATTTTCTTCACAAGTGATCAGAGGCATCATATCAAAGAAAAAAATATTTTCCTAGTGTTATACAAATCACTATTTTGACTTCCGGTTTGTATTACCTTTCCATTGTTTTGCATTAAAATGCTGATTTGTCCTTGAAATTGCTGATGGTCTAAGGAAAGTTTATAACATGCATCTCTGGACTGCATCCCTCTGAGCTTTGAATCCTGAACTCTGCTGGGAACCTCTGGAGTTCATCAGTTAGCAAAGTGATTCATTGGTAATGACCTTGCTGTTGATTGTGGTAAGCATCAGAAACACTACTAATATGGATCCCTCTTTGTTGTATCGTGCTTTTTGTTTTATCAGTGGGTCTATGGTTTGATTTGTGATTTGGTAGTTTTCCTTGGTGCTGGTTTTTTCTTTTGTCTCCACCCTTTTCCCAGAAATGTCGACAGCTAGTTTCTAGTTTCTATTTCTCCAAATTTTACCCATTTCCTAAAACTGTTTTTCTTCCTTGGATGTTTATTGGTTCGCTACTGTTATTTCCCACCTGGGTTTTTACTCCCAACTGTCCTGATTTGTTGGAAGTTGGGTCTGCCCCTCCCTTTCCCCTGAGATATAAGTCTTTGTTGGCCCTTTAGTTGGGGCCCAGGAAGAAAGAGGGGAAGAAACACCATCAAATAAAGTTTCCCTGGGACCTGTGTGTGCTGCCTGTGTTTTATACTGCGCCCAAACAACTCACAACTGGGATTCAAGGAGCTCCAGGGGGAAAAACTGCCGCCCCCGACTCTCAACATCAGCTAGCCGGGGAAAGAGAAGCGGCAGACCTCTTAGAGCTGGGAACCTCTGTTTGGGTCTCACATTTAAGCTGTCTCTTGTATCTGCTCTAAAAAGCCTGGTTTGTATGCTATAACTAGGTAATCAGAATTACATAAATATACTTTTCCTTCATCACTTCTTTAATTTAAATAAAAGAGGGAATATGTTCATAAAGCGTGGTGCAGTTTTATTTATCATACATTCCTGAACTCTTACTCCTAAGTTTACCCAAAAAGCAGGTTAGGTCTATTCGAATTATCCCTTCCCTTCCCTTCCCTTCCCTTCCCTTCCCTTCCCTTCCCTGGCATGTAATGTGGTGTCTACTGCATGTCATTCCAGAAGCACAAAATTATCTTTAAGGTGCTGCTAATGAGAAGTTCATCACCACTTGGCTTCCTCAGTGCATGTCAGGGACTGCAGAACGAATAGGGGATTAATCAGTACAGCTTTGCTCCAGGTTGTTGGAGGCATTTTAGTGCTGGTGACCTAAGCATTTCTATGTGCTTAGGTTTGAAAAGCAGGGGAGTAGCTGGCTTTTCAGAAAAGTAGGATTGCAGTTTGCAAGAGATAATCAAGTGACCAAATGCCTTTTCTTTTTACCTCTTCTTTCTATCCCCAGAGCTTGGACATGGGATATGTATTAGGCTTTCCATGGGCCCCCCACTATTATTATATACTTAGATGAAATAGGTCCAGTTCAAGAACTGCTAAGTATACTAAGCAGAGAGCAACCTCCTTTCAGCCTTCTAAGTATATCTCTGACACTAGCCACTTTTTGCTGCCTCTTAGGAGGGTCTTTACCTAAGTTTCTTACCTATTATCAAAGGTGGGATGTGTATTGCAGGTGTATCTTTTCTTCTGGGCTTTTTCTGCTTCAGTTCAGTGATTTGAGAGACTGGAGTCACTCTCTCTCTCTGTGACTTCTCTGTGATACCATACCTTTTCAGCAGATTTTCAGATGAGTCTATGCCTGTAAGCAAGCAATAAAGAAAATGCTACTTTAGCCTTTTTACATTGAAGAAACTTCCAACTTTGTAGCTCTCCCAAAGACTACTCTGAAGTACAGTGGCACATCTGCATGATCTGCTGCATGATGTACCCACCCTACATTTCTTTCAAATTAATTATTTCCCATAGGCTCTAGAAAATGATGCTATCAGGCCAGCTGGCTTCTGATTGTACATAAGGCACTAAAAATCATGGGATAGATGAGTGTAATCTCCTATTCCAGAACTTTAGACATCTTACCACATAACTTAATCACACACATGCTCAAGAGGTTAGTTGGGAGCCGTATGACCACACGGAAGTGGCTGTTTTAACTAGTGAAAGAATGTTTTCTTTATGATATGACAATTGCAGAAAGAAAACACAGCTCTCCAGCCTCTGAGCTGCTCTTCCTAGGAGAGAATTGCTGATGGAAGGTACATGTGAAAACTGAGCAGAATCAAATATCTGGATTACAAATACTGGAAAATCCCAGTTGCTTGTTTTTGACTTGGTGAATTGTTGCAGATATACAGAGAAGCATACAAGTAGTTACTGGCTAACTCCTCCATGTATGTGCAGCATGGGAAGAAGAACTCAATAATATTAGAGCACAGCTCTCTTGCTGGAAATTATAACACTGAGTGCTTGTTAGCTGAGAGTGACAAACACTTTTTCCCATTGCTGTTCTTGGATCATTGGGTTTCAGTAAGTCTCCTGCTTATTCTTCCCTTCTCCAGGTTGGTGGCATTTGGGTCTCAAACATCTGTATTTGTGCCACAGTAGGGAGCATTCCAAAAGAAGCCTCTTCATTGCTGTGATGTTTTCTGGCTTCCTGAAGCACCTACCCTTTGCCAGAGTCCCCATCAACACACGATCCCTGTGATTTCCAGGAGGACCATTCTGCAGGTGGCTTGTGTGTTTGACTGGTCTACTCCCAGTGTCAGCCCCAGCCTCCAGCTGTCCACTGGATGTAAGTGTTGTGAGAAAGTGCAGAGGCTGGACTTGATCCTTTTTGATTTTGGACCATATCCAATTGGGACATCTAGTATGGTTCAGCAGCTGCCAATAAATACACGTAATTTCACACATAAATGTAACATTATTTATCAGCAAGACTGTGAGATCCACAGAAGCATGTTTTTCAGATCATAAACCTATCCACCTTGGTATTCCCAAAAATGAGAACAAACTAACTAACATGGAATATCTTTGAGAAAGTCAAACTTCCTGTTCACCTGCCTTCCCAGGTGCACATGCAGGAAGCTGTGTTCCTGTCTGCATCTGAGGGGACATAAATGTTTGAATGTTCCATGGATATTCACCCTGCTCCAGTCCCCAGACATGAACTGGGATTTCAAAGTTGAGAAATTTACTGTTCACCTGTTAGAGATGGTGGAGTGTACAAAGCTGGTGTATCTTTTCTCTTTGGCTTCTTTGGCTCCTGTTCAGTCTTCTGGGAGGCTGTGAGAGTTTTACCTTTTCTTGGTTTATTTTTGAGGTCACAGCTCTTAATCAGCTGCTCTGAAAGATCTTCTGCAGGGAAAAATATAATAGAAATTAAAACTTAGGGAAGGTAAAAAAACAGATGGTAAAAAGAATCACTTTGATAATAGTGCTTTAATCCAAGTGCCCAGGAAGAAAAATCTCTTAAATATTTAGAAAGCAAACAAAAGAAGGCTCTGTGCCATACTACATGGGAGTCAAGTGACTTAGGTAGTCCTTCTGTGTTGTTGGCAGTAGACATAAAACAGAGAAAGAGTTGTGGGCAGCTTGTGTGTTTACATGTCAGAGGAGAGGCTGCATCATTGTGTGCAGAGGTTCCATAGCCATCCCTATTTCATCCAGTGGTAACTGTATGGATTGTATCTTCAAGAGTTACAAGGCCAGTTTTGTGAAGGACAGTTTTACATTTATAGGGTCAGTCTGAGCTATTTGTAAAATGAGCCCGTCCGTATATTGCTCCCTTCAAGAGTTAACTTTATTTCCAGAACTAATGAGCAATTGGTATTTGCTTTTTGTTGACATAACATGACACTGGATTTTTGGTTTTCCCTTAAAACAATCCTTTACTCATATTGCTCAGCAGGTCAACATGACTTTTTCCGCAAGAGTCTGTATTTCTGAGTGCTTATGCAAGCTGAAAATACAGAAGATAGCTTGTTGCAGTAGTACATCCTTCTCCCTCAACTCCTCTTTAGGCCTGCTCTACAATCTCAGCAGCTTCTGATAAGCCTTAGTTGAAACAGCTGAGTGGTGAAATGCTCCTTGGTGCCAGTTGGGTGGTGAAGCATCTATGACCATACTGGGTGCTCTTCTGTGGTAAAGGTAGGAACTATTCTGACCATACCAGGAACATGAGCAGTCTGACCAAGATAAGGAACAAAAGATAAGCAGTCATTCTTATTAGCCTTGGTAAGTAATTTACCCAACTGAAATGGTACCATTGTTATGAGACCTTTTAAAAAAATGAATCATAGCCTGAGTGTAATAGCGCTATTTTTACTGGAATTTTTGGGAAAAATCATCTTGTGATGCTACAAACAGCAGTGTAGCAACAAGGAGAGCTGTTTGAGCTCTCCTGGAACACAGTGGGCCTCTGAGTGGAATGCCTCTTGGAGCTTGCAAACCCTCAAGTTTGCAATACTTAAAAGACTGTTGCTGATAACAAGGTCTAGGCAGATACCACCCCCACAAATACATACTCCTTGAGGTGCAGCCCATGCCAGTTGAGAAACACGAAAGGATTTGAGTACTGCTCTGAGCCTGATAGGAATTTTTGGTAGGTACCTTTACACTAGTTAATATAGATGTATACATCTTTTTTTTGTGTGTTCATGCAAGTGAATAGATTATGGTATGAATGTTGTTATTTTGAGTATATGATTAACTCACTGTTATAATTGTAGCAAATCCTATTGAATTTTTTTAAACATTAAATTAGTCAATGACTAAGTGCTTTTGTACCCTTTTCTTACATCCATATTCTCTGCACCCTTACCCTCTTGCATCCCCAATCTTTATGTAAATCATTCCAAGTTGCTTCTAATCCAATTTACTTATGCATGCTTTGTCTACGTAAGTAATAGAAAGAACCTTGCCACTTAAATCTTTTGCAGCTGCATTCTCATGAATTCATATTAAACCCTGCTTTTTGCCAATAACCTTGCCAATGATTCTTTAAGCATTTTAACCATTCATTTGTGAACCTCTCATTAGTATCATCACAAAAAGCTATGTTTTGAATTCTTAAAAGCAGCTTGTTTGCCTTCAGCTGGGCTCCCCACATCATTACCCAGCCCCTGACTGCAGACTTGCATGCAAGTACAACTTCGTTCCAGGCTCTTTCACACTATTTAAGGCAGCTGTTATGTCTGTGAGCCTGCAGGTAGATGTGGGAAGGATGGCCTCTGGGTTAAGTCCCTGGAGATGTGGGGTTTTTTTCCTGGCCTTCACAGGCTTTCTTCATAGTCCTAATGAGCTCATTTACCCTCCCACTGCCTCTGTTTTCCAATAGTATAATGAAACTCATTCTGTATGTATTTAAATAAGCAATTTTAAGGACCAACTGTGGTATACCAGCATTTGTAAAAACAGTGTCTGTGGCTAGAAATGCCATGTAGCAGAGACAAAACTAGGATACCTTCTTTGCAGTACTAATCAACAAAATTTATAAAACCCATGGTGTGACACAGTTTTTTTTACAAGGAAGTGAAATTGCATTTGTCTTTCATTATTGTTGTCACAAAGGTAACAACAAGCAAACAGATTTTTCTCTCTGGGTTGCTAAATCTTCAGGACAATTTTGTAAGATAAGAGTGAAATCATAGCACTAGAAGCAGAGGCAAAGACCGTGAATATGCAAAAAGCTTATCTATCAAGCATGGATGAAATCTGGTATTCAGGAGTGTGACAGAGCAAAGACAACCCTAGTATGCTCATTGTAAAAGCTGTATGAAGTACCTTCAAGAAAGGAAACTGATGATGGAGAAAACTGTGGGAAATAGTGAAGGAAAGATGATTTTCAGAAAGCTGGAAAAGCAGGCCTTAGAAACAGAAAGAGCAGAGAAACTTAGAACTAGCTACAGCTGCAAAGTCTGAAGGTAGAAAAGGTTACAATAGTATAGCAAGCAAGGACATGAAACAATAGCTTGAGTTTTGGGCTGGGGTAAGATAGAGCTTAAGACTACAGAAAATTATGCTTACCAAGATAGTAGATGGCTTTAAGCTTAGTAATGGTGTATTGTGTATTGTCAATAGAAAGGAAACAAGCAAGCATTGCGTAAAACAGGTGCACGTGTACTTTGAGTAATTTCCTAAACCAATTGTAAGCTTTAGCAATACACTATTGGCTGGAAAGTATTTTAAATGCTCTGTAACAATGTCTTTGGCTGTTGCTGGCAAAGCTTTTGCCATCTTTCTATTGTCTCAACCATATAATGAGGCTGATGCTGCAATAAAAGCTCAAGGAACGTCTCCCAACAGTGCCGTTCCATTTGTGAAAAGAAAATAACTTCCCAGCACAGAAAACATTTTTAGAAAGCTGACTCAGTGATGGCAAATGGAATGCTTGAAATCTTTTACTCAAATTGCATATGGAAGATATATTCAGGGAAAGCTCAGCTATATCCTAGCTTTCAATTTACTGTGGTATAAATGAAGAAACTGCTCTCCCAGGGAAAAGATCAATGACTCTTTTTCCTTTCCCCTCTTTAATTAACTTCACTCTAAAGCTTCATCTGATATTTATATGCAGGAAAAGTGCTCCTTGTCTTCCATCTGGCACTAGAAGTGTCAGCAGAAGGTGTAATCTATGTTTTCATGGGGGATTAGTTGTATTGCTGGACTTTATGATGTGAAGACAATACCCCACATTACAGCAATGACATCATCAAATAACACTTACCAAAATGGTTACACTGTGAATCTTGCTTGTCCAGTCTGTCATCTGGGATATCAAGTGGCTGAACACACTCTGTTGACATCATTGAAACAGCCTTTTCTCCTCCTATGAAGATACTACACCACATTAAGAAAAAAAAGTTTTAAAAGAAATTCAGTGCATGACATAAAACAGACATATTGGTGTTACCTAAAAACTGATGAGGAGTTCTTGTCTTCCAGCAGTCTGCTGACCTGATTTTTTACTCACACATGCTGTGATTCACTGCCTTGGTTACACACAGAGTAACCTGTTTTTCCACCTACCTTGCTGTAAGCAACCCACACTAGCATAGATTGACTCTACAGAAAAACATAATTTTTTTTTTTTTGAGCATACAGAAAGTGCTATCTCATATACAAACTAAATGCTAAGGAATAGGATGTTTTGTTTTAGTTTTGTTCTCCATTTTTTCTCAAGGATCATATTTGGTATTTATTATATGAACCAACTTTAATGACGAATTCTGTTGACTTGGTCTTTTAAATCCAGCTCCACTAAGAGACCTTACATACCCCAGAAAAATCAGGTGTAAAATGCTGCCTCAGAAAGATGGCCACTGCTCACAGATCCCAAAGCCATCACGAAGTAAACTTACTCATCACTTTGGTAAGACCATGGGAACCCATTTCACACAGCTATTTAAGTGTCCATGCTCTGTAAATCTTACTGGATTGCTGTTTGGGCTATTTTGTCTCCCTTTACTTATAGCTGCAGTGGGTGTAGAACCCCATCCTCACCCATCCTCCTACCTGAGCTTCCCCAACACCTTGCAAACTGAGACTTGATCCTGGGGCTGCCGCAGATGCCACCACAGAAAAAAAGAAAACTAGACCATTTTTCATTGCTGATCATTTCTATCGTTAGCAGAAACTCATCAGAATGACAAAGGCAATGTTAAAAAGAAACAACCTTCAACCTGAAGATGCAGTCCAAGTGATCTTGGTATCTGCTTTGATCCAGCAACAGCTGTGGTAGTTTTTTATTCACAATCTCCCTTCTCCATTTTCAGGGAATAAGAGCAGACTATGACTTCCTTGCAAGGAGGAGAAAGGCAATGAGGAAAAGAAAAAACTGGAGATGTTATGAATAGAAGATGAAAGGAGTAATTGAGGAAAAAAAAAAAAAAAAAGAGGAAGGGGAGGTAGAGAAGGAAAGGCAAATAAAAGAGAAAAGTAAGAAAAGAGCCAGCTGCAGAATAACAGTGAAAAGGAGGATGGGAAAACAAGAGACTAAACTGTGGTAGTTTGGTTTTGTCTTGTTGGAGGAAAAGTAATTACCTTATTATTTCTCTGTAAATTACAATAGTTTTTTGCTGACAAGAAACAGAACAATAGGGGAGTTAATCTCATTTCCATGACTAAACTTGCATCTATGTAAAGAACAATTAACTCTTGAACAAAATATTTGCAAAAGAAGGTAGGAAAGGTTGTGCTGATGTAGTTCTTTACTGGATGGAACACATGTAAATGACAGTGACTTACAAATTAATGGAGTAACACTGCTGTTATGATTGTATGTGGTGGTTTAGATAAGCCTTTGCCTTTTGCCCAGGCCTCTGGCAGCAGGCAGTAGCTTTATCGAGGTAGCCAGCACCCCAAAGCTCACTCTTCACAAGTCCTTTAATATAGGCTGGTTCGGTTATATTCTATTATATTCGGTTATATTCTATTCTATTATAGAATGAATTATTTATTTAATAGACAGAAAACTAACAGACATAAGATTTAAAACAAAGTATTACTACACAGGAATAAAGACAAAAAGAAAAAACACTACTAGTAGACATATACAGAGCGATGTTAAAGGTACCTATTAATGTTACAGTTAGCAATGAAATAATATAACTTAGGATTCAATGTATCTTACCATCCTGTTGGTGAAGGGGCACACATCAAGATCCTTTCCCTCAATCCTCAGGAAAGTAACCATGGATTTGCATCCATAATCCAGGGAGAAATCTCCCACACTTTCAGGGTGTATGTGTGTAGAAGGCTTCTACCTCTGTGATAACTTGTGTCTTTTACAGTTTGTAAAACAGTGTCTCTCAGTCAAGAATATTTCCTTTATCTCTTCCCACATCTGCTCTCTAGACTAAGAATATGATTCTTAGCTGAGGTTTGAGCACTTTTGGTGCCAGGGATGACCTCTTGCTGGGCCTTTCAGCCCCTAGGTTATCTCTTTATAGACCAACTGTCAGTGGTAGAGAGGAAGGTGCAATAGATGTCCTGCCACAACTGGCTGGCAGCATCAAATTTGACTCAACTCATGTCAACATCAAAAGTTGACATTGACTGATATTGCACATACAGGATTAATTCCCTTATGTTTCACTATTTAAAAATTACAAAAATTTGTAATATTCTACAAATTATTAAGATCTTACGGAATCAGGCCTTGATGAGAGATTTCACCTCCAAATGTTCACTACAGAAACATCCCAGTCCAGCCTCACATCTGTACTAAAGTGTTATACTGCCTGAAGGCTCATTTGCCTTCACTACAAGAAAAATCCTTCACTTAGGAAGACTTTAGAGAAAGAAATCTTTGAAGGCACCTTAATATGGTTGCTCTGTTTATTCACTGTATATGTAAGCTATAGGTGTGGTTTAAAATAAAGCAGACATAATTTTATTTAATACAAAACTTATTATCTGTCCATATGAAGGCTTGCACTACATTTTGTGATTTGAGGGAGTTTTATTCTTTTGATGTCATTTGATTTTATTTGATTTGATTAGGGCATTCTGGCTAAATATTATGACTGTAGGTAAAATGTTCTTTTCAGGAGAATACTCTGTTTACAAGGTTTTCAGTGAAATCAGGGATATTATTTCAGACACTATGGACCTTTTTCTTTTTAACACGTCTTGAGGCAAAAAAGGCTGGGGATAAATAGCAAAACTTAAATGTAAAATTGATAATAAATTATATTTAATAGAAATAGCTTATAAAATATAGTTAAATTTGTTTAGATTCCAATAAGTTGTTTCATTGAATTATTTCATCCAATAAAAATTAAGCTTTGTAAAGAGACTTAATATAGGATTGCTTCATTATTTTTTCTTATTATGGTAGTTTGGAAAATATTATTCTAAAATACATCTCTTAGGTCTGTGTTCATATTTTCACTGTCACACATGCCGAGCCCTTGTCATCTTCAGTGCTTCAAAATTCTCATTTACAGGCTAACTTCTGACACTCCCCTTCCATTTCTTTTCTTTTGTAAGTCTGCCCTGAAGCCAGCATTGCCTTGCTTACTAAAGTACTGCATTTTGTGACAGTGTGTGACAAAAGGATAAAAAGATAAAAATTACCAAAATATATAATGAATTTTGTTATCTTGGGTGTATATACATTGTGTATGACATGTGAATCTGTCAGCACTGTTATGTCCTCTCATCATGGATTACACACAGAGCTCTCCTTCAAAGGAAAGTTGCTGTATGTGACCATTGTTATGGTGCTTTTCCAAACAACTAAAATCAGTTCCTGCCACTAAGGAAACGGATTCCCCAGTAACGTTTTACATGTGAAGGTAGCCTGCTATGGGAGCTGCATGAAGCCATTAATATGGCTTTACAAATTGAAGCACGTTCTCAGACATTCATGCATTAAGTGCAACACTTTTCCTAGCAGCCTTCACATTAGCGCAGTTTGCACTCTCTGCTGCCATTAGTCACCTTGGTAGCAAACGCTCAAATGCTATTCATGTGATGAAGTGTTTCTTTCTTGCACTCTGTTATGTCTCTTGACATAATGATCCATATTCATCCTTTGTGCATCTGTAATGGTTACATTGGAGGCCTAGTTCACACACAATAGAAGATACTTCCTGAGATGCTATAGATTTTCCTATATGATTTAGGATGCAATTGTCATTTAGCCAGAGACTTTGGTACAGTGCAGCTAGGTTATACCATCTTCTTTGGAGATATGTGCCTAAATGAGTGACCTCAAGCCTCTTATTTCTTGGAAAAGTGAGAGCTGATAAGGACAACTGAAATGCTTTCCTTAAAGTTGAGGCAAGTTCTAGCTTTGCCTACATGGTTTTGCATTGTTCCTTGTTAAAACTTTAGGCAGGAGATTAGATTGGTTCTACTCACAGACAGAAGAGGGCAATGAATTACAAGGCAGCCTGGAAAGTGTAAGTATTACTAAAAGCTGCTTCAGCTTTCATGTGAATGAAATCTCATGCTGAATCACTGTCATATAAAAGCATGACTCCTTTGGGCATATACCCTTGTAAGATATGATGATTCAGATTAAAAATATTTGAACTTTTCTCTTTCTGGATATCAGCTTTGAATTTTTAGATAGGTTAAAGCACATACTAAATTTTTTTTTCAAAATTCTCAGTTGTTGTACCCACTTGATTAAAGTGCCCAAATAAAGCTATCTTATCACGCACTAACATAGTTCTAAAACACACAAATACTTGCAAGTATATAATTACTTTCTTTGCTTAAATTTTTGATTTCCATAACAAAATTAAGTAATGCAACCAGTTCCAGGCTTCAATTAGGTAAAAATATTTTGCTAGAGACAGATAAAGAAACCTGTTTTAGTTAATTATTTTAATGCGCAGTTGGTTTAATGTAGATGTGTGTCACAAGTAATCAGCTTAGAGTTTAGGGAATACTCAGTACAGCTACTCTCACATATTTATAAGATTATGTAAATCTTTCAAGGTCATCTGATAATGTGACATTTAAACTAACTTAAAATGAAATCTCATGAGAAAAAACTTACTTTGTAAGATAGAAAACTAAAGCTTTGAGAACAAAATTAAAGAGCTGGACTTATTCTTCATTTGATCTTGAATTAGGTGTGGAAATGGCTTGGGGGGGAAATCTCCATTTCTCTTATGATTTGAAGGGTTGTAGGGGCTATGCAACTACATGGATATTGGGCACTATGGATAGTTGTATGTAATCTGAAGGGACAATGCAGTTCTCAAATGAGTCACCCATAGGTGATCATTCTTACCTATAAGATGGAGAAATTAAGTTCTGATATGCAATTCTTATAAAAGTTTACAGGGGTTATGTGGG